AGTCGGAAAGTAGCTTGTCCAACGGTGAGTTCAGTGGACCATTTGACTTTACCAATTCTAAAGCAAAAACAGACGCCGTGTCAACAGGGTCCTCCTTGCCTATGCATATAATAGAGATTTGAATATCCGAATCCCGAAGTTTATTTACCTTCTCCGCCTTCACACTTCGAACTGAGCCCGGTTGGATTCCATGAAGCATAACTTTCTTATTCTTGTAATCAAACTTCATGGTAAGTTTCTTGAAATCCCATTTGACCGGACTTATAGTTTCTAACCACTGAATACCCAACACGCCATCACAACCATTCAGTGGAATGACCATAAAATCATCTTCAAAACGAGTACCATGAAAATCCCATTGAAACCGATCAACTCGAGCTTGAACTGCAACTCTGTTACCATCAGCAACTATTGCCTTCGCATTTCTTGCAGGTAGCAAGGTACAGCCCAAACTATTAGCAACTTGAGGATCCAAGAAATTATGAGTAGACCCCGTATCAATAAGGATAAAGATAGGTCGTTTGTTATGTGTGCCTTTCACCCTCATGGTGGTGTGAGTAGATATTCCAGAGATCGCATGAACCGAAATCTTTGCAATTTCTCCATCAGGTTCTTCATTCTCTTTATCACATTCACCATCAGAGTCCTCCTCAACATCCACATAGAACAGTTGAGGGTTCTTGTGAACCTTAGAATGCTCTGGGGAAAACTTCTCGTCACAGAAGTAACATAACCCCTTCGCTCTACAGTCATTCATTTCTTCTTGTGAGAGAAACTTCCGAGGTGGAGCCATCTGTTCCTTCACTTTATCCCCCACCATAGGTTTAAAAGAAACCACCTCCCTTTTAAAAGTGTTTCTGTTCGCTGATAGAGGCTTAGGTCCAGACCACGTAGTAGAGGAACCTTTGTGAGGATGTGCAGTCTCATACAAACGTCCCAACAACAGACATTGCCGCACTGTCCGTGGTTGAAACATCCGTACATGCATTTGCGTATCAATCCTCAAACCAGCCAAATACGCACTCACTAAATAAGCCTCAGACATTTTCACCCTGCAACGAATACTTTCAAACTTATTGTGATAATCCACAATACCATCAGTTTCCTGTAAGCGTTTCAGCTCAGCAATTGGATCATCCCACACCGCCTCGAAACGTTCCTTCAACAAAACCTTATACGAAACCCAATCTGGTAAGTTCTGTATCCCTAGTTCTTCCACTAGAGCTTGGTGCCAACCAGCAGCAATATCTTCCAAATGAATCGATGCTACCGAAACCTTAATCTCATCAGGAGTATGATCAATGGCGAAGAACCGTTCAGCCTTAATGAGCCATTCCTTAACCTTATCACCATTGAACTTAGGAAAATCCAATCTACCCAACCGCGTGACCCCTGCATAGTGAGCAATGTTACCTGATCGAGCTCCATACGACAGATCTGGTGCTTGACCCACGGGAGACACCGGACCCTGACGATTCGACCGATCTGAGCTCACCGAAGTTGGCGACGGAGGTGGTTGGTGTAAACGAAAAGCTTCGAACAGATCCACAAGCATCTTTTCCATCCGAGTATTTTGACTATCGATTTTCTCTTCCAACGCCACAAATCGAGCATCAATACCTCCATCACCAGCTCACGAAGTTTCGGGTGCTTTATCCTTCCTCGTTGCCGTTTGAGATCTCGTTTCAGTCATTGTGCCGAGGAAAGACTGAGCTCTGATACCTTTGATACAATGAAATCCAATATTACTTCCGATAGAAATGTAAAACAGAATCCAATGTTCATAGTAAACAAGGAATTCTAAGTTCTTTCTTACAAGAAATCCAAATTCAAGGATCCCACGAAGAAGACGAACCAAGGTCAATTACAGAGACGAACGTAAGAGAAAAAGATTGACAACAACTTTCTTGAATGAATCATTTCTTCGTCCTCACTTCATTAAATCCTCACTCTCTCAGCTCCACTTAATCTCCACCGTCGAAACCATCATTCTCCTTGCATCTTCCACGTGGCCTTCTTATTATAATACTTAACTATATCATATAGTTATAAACCGTATAATCTGTGTAGCGTATAACCCGTATCATCTTATTTCTTCGATTTCTCTAGAGATTGTTCATGTCATTTGTCTCAGAGATTCCTTTGTGCATCGGTCAGTCCTCATCCAATTCATCACCAGAATTATGTCTGGTGCGATACTTTCTTCCAATCTGCCTGCGCTTCCTTTGTTGTGTGGCAGAAGAGATGGATATTAACCGATGTCTCACTTTTGTGCTCTTGTTGAAGTTTAGTTGAATGGTTCATCGAAAGTCAGCTTATTTATTTGCCAATTGATCTGTTTAGTTAGTTTGTTGCTAGTTTGACAGTGATGATTCACGTTTTGGAATAATTGAAGAAGCTTGTAAAATTGTGTTAGCTGCAACTTTTTCTGTTCCTGTAAATGTTAAAGCTAGTTAGGAGTCTGCTTGATTCATCTTTTGGTTTGCTAGAGCAATGTGTTCAAAAGTTAGAGCCTGTTAGTTATTAATCCAAGCTTGAAGGTGTTCTCTTTGTGTTGATACCATTTTTGGGGTGCTTATGGTTTGCAGAAAAACAGCTATCACAAAGGGAAGTGCTGGATATTCCACTGCTACAGCTCCTGGTGATTCTAACGGGTGTCAGCATTCGGGTCATCAACGGTCTTCTACTGTTGACTTTAGTGGAGAGTGGAAACTTAATATAGGATCCAACTTGGCGAGAATGGTTCCACCAACTGTGAAACAAGCTGGAGCTGTGTAAGTGCTTGGAGGAAGGAGGAAGTCAATCAATATGGAAATCTTGTCCATGCTTGTGATACAGAGGTATGTGGTCATCTGTTTGCTGTTGCATTGTTATTCACAAAGCAATGAAATGCTAATGCACTTGACTTATAGACGCTTCTCGTAATGTTTCTTTTGTTCTCTGCTTATCGATTCTTTAGGTGTACACAATTGATGTAAAGAATGAAACACCTGTGATAATCAAATTTTATACAAACATTTTTAAGAGCATAGTATCGGTTTTGAATAGTTTGTAATGAAAAATACACAAATGTGTACTAACGGGAAACGAAAATCAATTTTATGCAAACATTTTTAAGAACCTCTAATGAGGTTCACCATTGGAGGTGAAAAAACTCATGAGGTTCTAAATTTTTAAATAATCAATATTTACTATTAAAATATTTGTTAAGAACCCCCTGGGGTTCATTAATGAACATGCTCTTATGTGGATATTAACCGGTGTCTCAATATATAGGGTACGTAGGTATGTTATTTGTTTTACTTTCCTGGTTTGGTTCGACTGAAACTTCTTTAATTATAATGGTTCTGATAGTGACATTAGAAGAATGTGCAATCAGATTTTGGGTTGAGTGGTTCATCAATTCAAAATTGTATCTGTGTCTATTGGCTTCTCGATGTCCTTCAGTACAAAATCAGATGTTGAATCTGATTATTACGTTCGTGTAGATCTGGGTTGATGCTTGTCGGTTTGATTGTGTAACCATATCTTGATGCTTGTCGGTTTGATTGTGTAACCATATCTTGACTCTCTAGTAGAGTGTCTTTCCGGAAATGTCACTCTTTATGGTGGTTTGGTAGGCTTTTGTTTGATGTTGGTCATTGTTTTCAAATCTGGGATCCTGGAATTTTGGTTTTGGTAACTGCATCTTCTATGACGTTAAATTTTCATTGTGTCTTGACATCTATAATCAGAGAGGAAGAAAGACTTTGTACAATTATCAAGGGACAATGCATTATTTTGAAACAACAGCAACTTTCATACTTCAAAGAACCATCACTTAAGACATTGGTGTCATCTAAAGAAACCTTCAACAGACGCAAGAATATACGAAGTCAAAGCGGGAATAATATAAAGTCTACATTATTAGCAAGGACGATAATATAGACTAATTGGTATTGTGTCGACATTCCAAAACATGTAAAGGATGCAATGGGTTTTCCTTGTACGATTTGGAAAGTAATAAAAGCAATGCCAATTTGACATACATATTGTATGAGAGTGAAACGAAGAGAGAAAATAAAAGAGAAAATTGCTGAATGGGATGTTTTTAAGTTTTAAATTTGAGGAATAGGATGTTTTGAAAACCGTAGAAGGAAAGGGGTGTTTTAACTGTTTGTCTTCCCACAAGGGCCCTTAGGCAATTTTTATTTTCGAAATTGCCATTATCGAAGTAAAATAACTAAAAATGCCTGATTAAATCCGATTTGGTAAACCGATTACACAAAATTATCAACCGAAGTCCAATATCATAAACCGAAGTAAAACCAAATTAAAAACCGAAGTATAATTTATCGACACCCTAACATTTAAATTAAAAATTTAATTCGGGATCCACATCTGGACGTCGTCTATCTACCATCTCCGGCAATCCAGCTCCGATTAGCCTCCGATAGACCTTTATAATGGCGGGAAAAGTTAAAAAATCGTTAACGCGGAACAACACCGTGCCTCCGGTGTCGAGGCGAGTGCTCCGGAGTAACTCGAAGACAGCTCCGACGGACCACTCGCCCATGCCGCCCATGCCACCGCGACGGAGTGACCGGGTTGAACATCCCATTCACTCGAGTCGTCTGAATCCACGCCGGCGGTGTAGAGCCAAAGTACAATTCGCTCCTCTTCTTCTAGAATGGCCTTCTCAGAATTCTAAAAGTAAGTTACATTTATGAACTTCAACCTTGTCTGAACTGTACTGGCGGTTTGTAATTCAAATTAAGATTGTAATTAAGATTAAGATTGAAACGGGGCGCCTGATTGGCTTGATTTATGTATTGGCGGTAATGAACTGTAGTACTTATGTCTATATATTGATTTCAAACGGTTGGATTACTCTTATATCATCTAGAAACAGTTACAGAAGTTTTTATAGGAGACCATACGAATAGGATAGTTTTCCGTTTATCCAGAATACTATATCTTTTCGTGCATTTCGGAATTGTTGTTTTCGTTCAAATACAGGTATGGAAGACGGAGAACCTTCAAATACAGGCATGGAAGATGGAGAAGCTTCAAATAACCTTTCGGAAAAACTACCAAAACGAGTCCTCGGCGATGGTTGCTACCCCGTTGGTGCTCGGTTGAACATATATTCAAAGGCCAATGTCATTGGCCTCCTTGTCGAGGCGTTAAAGGGTACTAAAGATCTTGAGAAGCTACTTCATTCCCAGTTTGGGAAGTTGTTCCATCTACCTGTTGCAAGATGTTGCAACAGCGCCAAACTTGTCCATGCCCTTCTATCACGACAACTTGTGACCACGAAGAAACACGAGATTTGGTTCCTCTTTGGTGGACAGCCTCTGAGATATTCGATACGGGAGTTCAAGGAAATCACTGGATTGAATTGCAATCCCGAACCTGATAGCACAGAAGAAGAAGACGATGTGGGAAAAACAGGAATCTGGAAAGACCTGTTCGGAAGAGCGAAGGCGATGAACGTGTTTGATGTGCTTGAAATGCTAAAGGACCCGGATCTACCCCGATGGAAACGGCTTCCATTGGCCCTAATCGTTTTTGTCGACGGTGTTCTGTTTTGCAATAGCAAAAATCTGGCCCTCACCGAGAAATACGTTGCGATGCTGACTGACTTGGATAGGTTCATGCTGTATCCATGGGGGAGGGTATCCTTTAACAAAACAGTATCTCGTTTTCAAGCTCCGAAGGCAATCACGGATGCCGAGAAAAGGGAGAATCCTGTAACACGATTGCGCCGTCAGCTTAAACAGAAAACCAGTGCATGCTATGGATTCCCTCTATCACTACAACTCATGGCCCTCCAATCTATACCAATGTTGGTTTCCAAAATTCCTCAACCTGATAACTTGAAGACATTCCTTGAAGATCCCGAAGGCTGTCAAAACGTTATCACACTGTTGCATCTTGGGGACATACATGCCGTGGAATCTGACCCTCTGGTAAATTATTTGTAGTATTATATTTAATAGTATTTGTAGTCTTATTTTGTAGTACTTGTCTTAAAAGATAAGTGCTCTGTCATTTTGGTTGGCAATTTTACAATTGTATTTTTTTTGTCTTAGTTGTCTGTGAAACAGATGGTACTGGATGATGGTGACAATGACCAACAGAATGAATTGCGTTAGGTAGATGAGGTAGAGGATGCCGAAGTTGCATTCATGCAGGAACTCATGGCCGAGGGGTACAAATTCACACCTTCGGATTTTGCAGTGGCACCGGCCCCTATCGTGGATATTAGTGATGCAGAGGACGAGGTTACCCATGAACAGGAACCTGAGCCATCCACCAGACCGAAGAAGAAACAGAAAACTCATCAAACTGAAAAACGTCCCATGCAGAGGAAGAGAGGCAGGGCAAGAACTCTTCTAATCTATCGGAAGATGAATCCCTTGATAGTGGACCCATTAAAGAGCTTAAAAGATGGATAGTACGTCAGAATACTTTGCTCCTTCGTGACATTAAGACCGAGTTGGACAAGAGATTGGGCGTATACCAAGAGGACGAAGAAGATGACGATGTACACCAGTCAAAAGAAGATGGGGAACAGGATGACGAAGGACAGAATACAAAAAAAGATGGTAAAAAACCGGATGAAGATGAAGACGAAGCCGAAGATGGAGGTGAAGAAGGAGGTTATGATGGGGCACAGTCTAGCGTACGCCATAATGATGGTGTACACCCCGAAGCTGGTGTACACCAGAAAGAAAGAGATTATGAAGAAGGGACATCTACTTACTACGGCGGGGACCATTATTCTCCCAGGGACCATGCGTACTTGAAGACTACAGAAGCTCCGACGATGACCCCTGAACCGGGACAAGCCAATTCAGGAACAACTCGTCCACCTCCTTACTTCGTCATTCCGGATGAAGATCCACCTACTGGCCTCAACGAGGTGAGCTAATTGTTTAGGCAGCAGCTGACTCTATTAAGTTTCATAACGTGGGTGTATTGTGCTATATTATTTATGACTTATTCAGGTGGATGGTGGTAGAAAAAATTTGGTGTCAGGCCCCTTAGTAGTCTACAAACCTCAGACTCCTCACCCATTGAGCTACGCATATAAGAAACATGAAGCGCAGACAGATGCACAGGATGCAGAGGTCAGACATTAAAGTTGTTCATATGATATGGATGTGTATACAGTAGTGTTTAGGTATACGCTAGGTATATGATTGATATGTTATACGCTTTATTGTTACGGTGGTTTGTAGGCTGTGGCTAATGAGGACGACTCAAATTTGGGGAAAGATTACCATACTGCGCCTGAGGATGCAAGTGATGCTTCGCAGAAGACCCCTTGTACTCCTAAACCCCCACAAGAAGTTGAGGGATCGTCTGGTGTGAGGCGAAAAAGTGGAGGAACAGGAAGAGGAGGAAGAGGAAGAGGAACAGGTAGAGGAGGAAGAGGTAGAGGAAAACGCGCACGTGTACGGTCGGACAAGATTCGGGATATTTACACCGCTGATTCAAAGGTGAAAGCTCTATTTGTATCCAGATCGAAAGCTCCGTACAAACCACCCGAAACAGTTTAAGAAGACCACTTCAAGGCATTTCAGGAGTTATTATCGCGTGAAAGAAACATGTAAGTTATATCGTATTGAAAGCAATTTATCCATAAACTTTCATTCTAATCAATTACCAATTGCTCTCATTACAGCGACTTTTGCATTGTCACTGGTCATACTGTGAACAATCAATTCTTCCTACAAATTGCGAAGCCTACTGAGTGGGTTAACACGATGGTAAGTATATTGTTAGTACTTACTCAATCTTTAATTATCTGTAATATATGTTATTTATGTTTTGTTATTTGTCAGCACATGCAAGTAATAATGGCCATGCTTTGGAGACGTAGAGGTGAAATCTACTTGAAAGACAGGGTAGCATTTGTAGACACCTTGTTCATATCCATCATCGGCAACTACTACAACGATTTCATATCGCGAGACAAAAATCAGTATGACTGGGGGAAAGCCATTCAGGGCATTGTATTGGGAAAACCAGCAAAGTGGGCTAATCAGCGGCAGAGGCAAATGTTTCTACGGTTTGTGGACGTTGTATGCGTCCCGATGAACTGGGGGTCTGAGCATTGGGTAGGCCTTGTAATTGACTTTAAAACGGGCAACATAAAGATTTTGGACTCTTTCATCAGTCATAATGATGAAGCGGCTGTGGAGCAGTATATGGCGCCCGTGTGTCAAAGTATGCCATTTATATTGAAGCGTTATTTGGATAGCAAATTAACAGAAGGCGTACGCACCACCCCTTACACATGGAGTCGTTTGGAGGGCATATATCAGAACAAAAGATCCGGTGACTGTGGGCCATGTGCGGCCAAATTCTTAGAGATGCATGCTGCAGGGCTTGGAGTGGAGGATATGGCTTTGATAACGGACGATGCCGTTGACAGGTTAAGGGAGAAGTACGCCATGGACTCATACGAAGAGTTTGTCGGGAATCCGGCTATTGCCAACGCTTAGGACGAATGTTGAAGTTTAATGTTGAACTTGACAATTTATGGAAGGGTTATTTGTTGGATTCTGTGTTTGATAATGTTTAGGATGTGGGTTTATTTGAGAATTTTTATGGTTATACTTTAGGGTTTACTTTAGTATCTATTAAATGGTGTGTCAATTATTTAGTTTGGTTACAATTTAGTTTACTTTAATAATTGCGCATCCGTACACCTAACACCTAACACCAATATGCATGAAATGGGAGTACATCAAGAAAAATTTGTTCATAGTTCACTTTATTTTAGTACTTATTAATTGGTGTGTGAATACTGTGTTCCAGGCGAAATATGTACCTGTACACCAATATCCATTTAGGTGTACATCTACTGGGTGTACAAGGAAATTTATGGTTTATGCAATAATTTTACAAACTCATTTACAATCTTAACGGTAACCGCATTTAATGTATACGCTCAATTAGTGGGCTTTTTTATTATTATATATATGCAACATAAAGAACCGTTCCGTTTCACAAATCTTAAACCGCAGTTATTCCATCTCCATAAACAACCGTTTTCATCACAATTGAACCTCACAAATTAACTATGGCACCAAAGAGAGGGCGATGTGATGCGGATATCCTGATTGTCAATCCCCTCTGATGGCGCTTCCCGACGAACTATTGGAGAAGGTTCTCGCATACAGTTGCAAGTCCGTCCAACAAATTTTCACACTGAAGCAAGTTTGCAAACGGTTCCAGGCCTGCACTTTAACCCATAATTTTCTGGCATCGGTTGATCCAGTGGAATTGGAGATGCCTATTCCCGAAGATTTCGATATGCCTTTTATCGCGTTTAGGGAATTTCCCAACTTGTTGAGGAGGATGTATGACGCACGCAATCCTGGTTTGCTGTTCATGAAGGGAATGCAAGACTACTTCTGCCGTGGAGACAAAGGTGGCATAAAACTCATCAAGGAATCGGCAGATATGGGATACGAAACATGTATTTACATGTATGGCATGTACATGAAAGCAGTGGTCGAAGACCCCGTGGGTTTAGAGTATCTTTCAAAACTAAGCAGGGGGGCAATGAGGAGAATAATTCGGAAAATTATTGATGGAGGTGAGCGTGGTTATGTTAATTTGCATGATGAGTTTTCGAGGAGGAGATTTGAGACTAATTCTCAGTTTGCCACACTTTGGTCTTGTCGCTGTGGTGTTGCCAATGCTCAACTTGATTGGCATGACGAATTGTTAAAGGGGCCAAGCATGTGCACGTCGTGTCTCTGGGCACAGGAAATGCAAAAGTTCTTCGTATTTGTTTGGTATGCAGCGCGTTCTGGGCCGTCAATGGAAGAATGGTGACTGATTGGTGAAAGACAACCAGTTTCGGTGTGTACACCTGCGTTGTGTACACCTTGGTGTGTACACCTTGGTGTGTACACCTTGGTGTGTAATCGATTAGATTCCATATTTCGTACTTTATGATTTAATCTTTTATTTAGGCCTGTATGTATGTAGGTGTACTTTGTTTTGCTTTCTATCTATGTATACTTTAATTGTGTTGACAGTATTTAATTTCGGTGGGTGGTAGTTTCAGTTTTTCGAGAACCATTCTGTTATATCTTTAAAGTCTCAGTTTACCTCTCTTTGTACGTCTAATAACTACAAAAAAAAAGAACACCTCAATCTGGACTCAATATGTACACCTTAATTTGTACACCTGAATGTTACATTTACCACATATTATATATTTGAGTATACAAACGACATTATCTCTTTTGTGGGTATTTTCGGAGAATATGGATATACAAACGACATTATTTATTAAAAGTCTCACCTTACCTATTTCTGTACGCATATTTTTAAAAATATGCATGATTTCGTCTATGTGGACAATCTGTACTCTATATCTCGGTTTACGTGATGTTGAGAAAACGTCTGTAATGATGACAAGAAATTTAGTTTCCAACAAATAAATAAAGGGCTGGGTTGTCAATGAAATTTCGATATTATCATAAATACTAATAGTATTGTCTCAGATATCATAAATGTATTGTGGTATATCAAAAATTAAATTAAATCATTCGTCAAAAAAGTTTAATGGTGAAATTTGCTTTTATTTGGTAATTCTCTGTATTTATTGTTGTAATTTAATTTTGCCGGTAAACGAAAAGACACATTTTCGTCTCTTTTCAACGTCTCTCTTCAAAGACATCTATTCGGCTCTATTAAAACCGCACTACTACCTCTTTAAATTCAATCCCTTCACCATAACTGCCTACTTAGCACCATCATATCTTCCTCTTTCAAAACATTTTCAATCCTTTCTCTTATTTCTCATTACATCTTCTTATTTTTTCTCTTTTCACCGAAATAAACAATGGTTCGAAGGAGAAACAGAGGTGGTGATGGTGATTTTTCCTATCTTCTCTCACTCCCTGATGAACTGCTGGAACAAATTATGGCCGCTACAAACCCAACTATAAGGGAAATAGCCCGCCTCCGTGCTGTTTGTTCTCGTTTCAACCGTATCGGCAGAAGCAGGGGTTTCTATCGAGCCATTGATCCCGCCGAAATCGTGCATGAACCAGCGGCGGTTCCACATTACCCAGCGATGATGAGGAGATTCTATGACGCGGGTAATCCAGGGGTTATTTTCGAGAGGGGGATGCAAGCCTACTTTTTCTTCCACGATGGTGAAGGCGTGGATTTGATAAGGGCTGCTGCGGAGGGAGGCTACGACCGAGCCCTTTTTGTGTACGGGATGTGGCTCAGAGCTGTGCTGGAAGACTTCGTCCGTGCAGAGGAGTATTTGGGCACGCTCACGGTGCAAACCCGGAGGAGGATGAGCCGGTTGTTGCTGGCCGAAGTTCCACACGGATGGAATTTCGATTTGCCAGTGGATTTCGCTGAGAAAGCGGCTGCCTTTCATCCGAGATTCCTTGCGCTGTACACTTGTCAGTGCGGGGTTATAAATTACTGGCTGCAGTGGTTTAGAGAAGACTTTAAGCAGCCAAAGTGCACAACCTGTTTCTGGGCCCAAGAGACCCAAAGGTTCTTCCGCTTCATTAGGAACGTCGTTCCAAGCTGGCCGGTCATGCTCGATTGGTGAAAGCCATAACCTTCGTTTGTCGTTAATTATTTATGTTGTCTTAGTGTTCCAAACTACAACTGATGTTTTTGAAATTGCTTGTCTGCTCTCGTTTTTTTAGTACTTATGTTGATTTATGATATTTATTGTACTTATGTTTATTTTATGATATTTATGGTACTTATGTTGATTTTATCATAGCTCTTACCATTTTTTTAAAAAAATGGGGGTTTTTTTCATTCGAAATATCTAAGTTAAATTAGGTGGATATCATTTCGTCTAGGGCAGTAATTAATTATGTACACCTATTCACTGTAATTATTTATGTACACCTATTACAGTATACCTATTACAGTATACCTATTCACTGTAATTATTTATGTACACCTAATACAGAATACCTAAAGACATACACCTACTTACGTAAACGGGATCAGATATAGATTGGAATCATAAAACAGGTTGAAAATAAAGTAACATTACACATTTTAGAAAATAAAGTAACATTACCATTGGTATTCGGGTTCGTATACGTACACCACCGTACACCAACATTGGTATACGGGTTCGTAAACGTCACCAGCATTGGTATACGGGAGTGTAAACAATTTTTGGACATAAGGCTGTTAGACATAAAGCATTTTTGCAAAGCGTTCTGCCGAACATCTAAGATAACAATTTTCACATCTATACGGAATCGTAAACGTACACTAACATTGGTATACGGGTTTTTAAACGTACAACAACATTGGTATACGGGATTGTAAACCCTTTTAGACATAAGGCTGTATTTAAACTTCATATTTATTTTTGAAATAACCACAACATGTAACAATAGCAGATCGATACTAAAGCATTTTTGCAATGCGTTCTGCCGAACATCTAAGATAACAATTTTCACATCTAACAATGTAATGCACATTCTCGTGATACACTTCGCACGACGCAGAGTAGTCTTCATGAATGAGACTAGGGTACCTGAACGTTTTCTCGTATGTATGTTTATTACGTGGGCAAAATGACCAGAATAAATATACTATATCTTCGGCGACTTCAAGAATTTCACGAGAATCATGAGGATAGTGGTACCTGAAAACCATCTTTAGAAGTTTTTTCCCTCTGTTAAGGCGACCCACGCACATTTGCAAAATGGCACAGCTGTAAGTGGCATAGACGTCTGATGGAACGAGCTTATTTAGCATCCTGATGGCGGGATAGATCTTCTCCTCTGTTGACACGAACCTTATAGCTTCGACCAATATGGCCTGTGGATTTTTCGACGCTAAGCAGCGCAGGAATAAAGGCCGATATACTCCACCAGGGTATATCCGAGATGGTGTGTCATGCAATGTCCATAGGTATGCCGATCTGAGTACTTCCGCGCTAAACGCAATGTCTCTACCACGGGTCCCTGCCAGAATAATCGGTCCAAGGTAGATGCAGTCAGACTCAGCAACTTTCTTGACAATGATTTCGAAAATATGATCTGGTAAATCTGGTAAATCTGGCATTTTTTTGGAAGGTTATAGGGTTTGTGTAGGGTGAACTTTCTTCGCAATATTATGAAACTATATATTGAATTGGATGAGTAGTTGTAGTTGAGAAACAGTTAATGGTAAGACAATTAGTGTGTATTTGAACAGAAGTAATATTACAATAAGTTTGTGAAGTGATGTTTACCAACTACATAAATTAAAGTAGTAGTTACATTGTTACAACTAGTTAAGTTCTTAGTAGGTACTTGTTACAATAATATCGTCAACTGATGTTCACTTAGTTTCCACCTTAAATTTATTACAAAAATTAAACTACTACTTGCAAATAAAATAACTAAACAAAAGTAAATATCTAATGCGCAGAGCCGTGCATTATAGAAGGCAATACTCGCAGTCTGGTGTATTTGAGCCATCGTAATGGTCATCTACACACTCCGATATAGGTTCTTCTTGTAGTGTGATGGGGAAGGTCCAAAGGCCACCCCACCGATCTTCAAACGGCCCCAGTGCGAACTCCCATACGTGACGTATAACGGCGTGAGCTAACAGCTTCATTTCATAAGCGGCATAAGGGACGTGGTTAGTGAATACATCGGTGAGGAGTTTTTTAGCCCTTCGTGGACGACCGACGCAAATTTCAAACATGGCACATGCGAAAGTAGCATGTTTATCACATGGGACAAGTCGGTTAAGCATTGTAATCGCTGAATACAATTCTTGCTCACTGACGGCAACTCTAATGGCTTCGAAATAAATAGCTCGTGGATTACAGGCGCCAAGACAACGCTCAAAGAATGGGCGGTAAGGGCTCCTAGGGGATACGTCGAGCGGTGTGTCAACCAATCGAGAGATGTCTGCAGAGCGTAACACGTCGTCGGTGAACGCGATGGCTCTTCCACGTTTTCCTGCGCGAATAAAGGGGCCAAGATGATAGGAATCATCCTCAGCTAGTTTCTTTACTATTAACCCTAAAACATCATCGTCTAAGTAGTGCATTGTTGTTTCACTTTGGTGTAAAATAAATTTGATTCCCTTTATTTGTAGACAAGGTGGATAGATATATAAATGTCCTAACTCGTGGTTGGTATACATATAAGAGCCACTTCAATAACTGCTAATCTGACCCCAACACGTCGCACTACATTATAAATGTAACTACTAGTTTCGGGCATTTTAATAAAAGAGAACTGACCATTCTTCTAAAAAATTGGGGGTACAAAACGGGTAGGTGAAATATTTACTAAAAGGGAGTACACTATTATATTATTTTCAACCGTATAATAAATTCTCCACCCCCCCCCCCCAACCACACACCAGTGAAGTCCATATATGATGATTTTGCTATGTCTTAACACAACTTGCCTCCTTTCCAGCGAAAAGAAACCCTAAACCAAACATAACATACCCTAAAGCGAACATGTCGCTCCCAGACTTGCCTGATGAAATTCTTATCGAAATCCTCAAGAGGCTCGGCAGCGAAGCATTTTGGCGACTCGGACCATTTGTGCGCGCTGGAAAGCGCACCCTCCGGCTTGTTTTCACCGACGATGGCCTCAAAGCTTCCAACATTTATGCCCTTTGCTGTGTCCCCAGCGACATATGCCCTGGAAAGGAAAGACGCCAATTCTTTCTGAAATGTTTGGCGAGTGAAAACCCTGAGGCAAGATACTGGGAAGGCCTGAGACTTGCAACCAGAGGCGCAGATCTCATTGCAAGTAGGACCATGCTGGAACCAAATGTTCCCACCGACGCTCTCTCCACCCTGGCGTCGGCCATGTTCAGCGTTTGCTTGGGTGACCCTTTTTCCGCAAGCCAAACATTGCAACTGTTGGCAACGCATCACGGAAGTCTACAGTCAGAGCGCGTGCGACAATTAGGTGAGGAGTTAATTCTTGAGATTTCATATTACGGAACTGGATACATGGATACGTACTCTAACTCATTTTCATATCCAAACGACGAAATCATCAAGCTGCCTGATTGTGCATTTGATCATTTCAAACCTGAGATCCGAGTACTTTGCAATGGTTGCTTCATATATTGGTGTGCTAGGCGTATCTGCGAAATGCTTTAAAATTAAGTTTATGATGTACACCTTTGAAAGTGTACACTAGTATGTGTACACTATATGAAGTGTACACCTATATTTCCTTTTTAGTATGTAATGAACAATCTTTGAATTAATATTCCATGACTTATGTTTCATGAAATCGTTGGACAATTTATGCTTCGACAATTTATCAAATCGTAAACATAAAAACCACATTTAAAAGTTAATTTGAATTCATAATCTTTCCAACAAACAAAATAGAGGTCTTATTTTATTCCAAAACATAATACACAATTCAACAAACAGAATTAAAAGTACAATTAAGGAGTTTATGCTCCTCTTGCGTGCTCCACCGTCCACGCAAGTGCAGTGGTTTCAAAAGCAGCCCTGTCTTCCACGTAAATCCTAGCAATTTCTTCAACAAAAAACAGTCCTTCCCCTATTTGGGGGGCAGTTAACATTTGGTGTATTTCCGTCAGTACCTGATTACATATACATGTAAACACAGTTAATCCCTTAGTTAAACGGAATTAATATTATATTCCATAAAACACAATAACGATTTATTTCTTTCATATGTAAAAATACATCATTGATGCTGTTGTTGGTCCTGAAGTGAGTTGGATTCAACATCTTCAGAAAAATGTTCCCATAAGTTGTAACGTTTGGGTGATACACTTTTGTTTTGAACATCACCTGAAAAAAATCAGTGTTATTAGTAATTGAAATCTTTATTGACTAAATCTGAAACCCTAAAAAAACAGCAATTTGAGAGAGCAATGATATTGTTCAATCCTTACCCTAGGAGGCACGAAAAGGTAGTCAAGCGGAAAGTGAATGTCTAGTTTGAAAACACCATTCTCATAGGGTGAACCTTTAGGCCCCCTTATGATAGTTTCCCAGTGATACAAGTCCTCACCCACAGGTCCTAATGAAATCGGCAAAACACTAATTAGGTAGACGATGTAAAAGACCGATCCTGAAAAACTAAAACTAAACTAATCCCCTATTTTCGAGCTGTCCTATCCAACAATTACAATTCAAAGACAAGATCATTGTCCGTTGTTTATTTGAACCATGTCTTTCATAATGTTTTCTTTCTCTGCTATAGAACCATGTCTTTGATAATTATTTTGAACTATAGAACCATGTCTCTGCTATAATATTTACCATTTCTCAGCTATAGAACCAGAACCATGTCTATGATAATTAGTTTGATACCTAAACCCTACTTCGTAAACCCTAAGCCCTAAACCCTAAACCCTAAACATAATCCGTCACCATATAAATGTAAACTTATAAATAAGCCATAATGCAAATACACTATATGATGTAAACTGATTGATGTTGTCCACCATCATAGTGTACACCAACTGTGTCCACCGTCAAGGGTGTACACCCTTGACCAGTAAACATCATCATTTTCATACCAAATTTAACTTAGTTCATGCCTTTCGAAGTTTAAATATAGGGAAACATAGTGTACGCTAGAAACAAACCCGAAAAACAAAGCGAGATCACAGTGTCCACAAACTGTGTCCACCAACATGGGTGTACACAGTGTGTATACCCTGTCCATGTAAACATCATAAATTTCATAACAAATATAACATAGTTCATGCCTTTCCAAGTTTAAATAGAGGGAAACATAGTGTACGCTAGAAACAAACCCGAAAAACAAAACAACATCCCCACAAAAAAAGCAACTTGAGCCACACAAAAGACACACCCCGTCAACCCAATGGTTCCTTGCATTTTGCCCGGTTATGGCCGGGATTTCCACATCTCGAGCATTTGTTTGGCTTCTTTTTTCGCAACCTGCAACAGCGTATATCAGTAATAAGTAATCAGTAGGACTAGGAAAAAAATTATAGTTTAGTGTACACTAACCTGAGGATACTCTCTGCTGAAAGTTTTCTCTTCGTCGTAGGCCTTCCTGATGGACGTTTTGCCTTAGGTGGCATAATATTAAGGTCACGCACCTCTGCTGGGATACGAATGTCGTCAGGGTCGGGCACTGGTAGGATTTTTTCCAGAAACAGTTGCACTCCAAATTGATTTCTTAAGAATTGGATCAACCAAACTGCTGTACTCCACTTGCCGAAGCCTAGCCGCGGCCATCGCATGTCGGCAAGGGTATTTCAATGTCTGAAACTCTAGACATGAGCATGTTTTGTTTAGGAGATCAACAAGCCGCCGTACACCAAACTCCGAACTCACTTCAACCTCCCACAAAGAAATGCCTTGAACTGATAGTGCAACAGATTTTTCCTGCTGAAGGTTCATTAACTTGCCAACTTCTTCTGTGACGTCACCATCCATCTTTTGAATTTTCTCTCTTCTGCATTCAAGCCACCTACTTAACATTCGCCTGATAAATTCTAGCATTGCAACGATTGGACTGTCTCTTGCAGCGAATAGTGCATTGTTCAGAGACTCTGCAATGTTACTGGAGGTCATATTATACCTCTGACCAGAAAAGTGTGATCTAGTCCACAGCGCAAGAGGGATTTTTTCCATGTACTCCCAACAACCATAATCAACATCCTTCAGCCTTGCGTATAGTTTCTTGAAATTAGAAACTGTGAACGCTTCTCCAGCCTTTACGACCAACCCTTTCTGACCGGAACCTTTGTATTTACCGTGAACATTTCTCTGTATATGGACAAGACATGTACCGTGGTGTGACTGTGGATACCATTTCTTTTTAGCTTTGGCAATTCCACCGTCCCTATCCGAGATAAAAGTAAGATCAGAGGAATCTGGAATAATTTCTAACAACTTCTCAAAGAACCACCTCCACGTCTTGTCAGAATCTGCATCGACAACGGCGAACGCTATTGGAAATACCTGGTAATTAGAATCTTGTCCACTCGCAGTTAATAGACAACCCTTATACTTACCAGTCAGGTGAGTTCCATCAACAACAACTACTTGTTTCAAATGTTTCCATCCAGATAAACACGCAGCCAATGCCATAAATACAGACTTAAACATGGTAATACTTGTTCCATCTTTTTCATCTCTCTCGCTCTCAGTTATCAAATGCGTTATGGTGCCGGGGTTAGCATACTTGAGCACATGGAGGTAAATCGGTAATAATTTGAAAGAGGTCTCCTCTGTTCCGTGAGCAGAGTATATAGCCAGCTCCTTAGCTTTCCAGCATTTCCAGTACGAGGCTGTAATATTATATTCAGAGAGAACAATCGCAGGTAGCTGACTCGCACGTGGCCCAACTATTGCATTCTCATACTTAGACTTCAGCAGAGCCGCCATGACTTTAGAAGTAGCATGTTTAGAAAATTTCTTTCTTGTATCCGGGTGGCATGTATGCTTCAAACACGCCTTCCTCACCTCATACAACGCCGAGTCGCCAACTTGACCCCCCAACACTCTCCAATTACAAATCTTTGATGGACATTCGGCGACTGTGTACTTCTTCGCATGCTTTTTGAAATTGAACGTCACTATATTCTTCAGCGCATTGATGGCCAACGTGATTTTAAAGTGTTCCTTGTTCCTGAACTTTTTTCCAACCCATATCTCTCCATCTTCATTTGACAAATCAAGTTCATCGAAATCCCCTGCCATTTCATCAGAGACTGGTGCCACATCCGGAAATCCATATAGTTCTGTACGTTTAATCGCTTTCTTCAGCTCTGCACCGCCATTCTGACGCCCCCAACTGACATCACCTGTCGGAGTCTGCACAAAATCATCATCATCTCCATGGAACCAGAACATTCTCACATACAGTCCTCTTTCTTCCAGGAAAATGAATAGGACTCTCCGTTAAGACAATAGAGTTGTCCATATGGTTTGAATCACTCGACTCACTTCCGCGAGTACTACCACAACCCCCCTGAACTACCACAGTCATACTTATCCTCATCAACTCCAGGTTTAGAATGGAAACCCTTACCATCTGCTAGTACGTAATCATTCCACCAGTCAAAATCATAATCTGGATCATCATCATCATCAGGTCCGTATTCTGCATCGTCAACATCATCAGCTTCCTTCTCTTCCGAATCTCTCGCCTCATCTGATTCCTGGGACATTTTTATTTCCAACTCAGGGTGGTCAACAGAGAGAGCGTGACTTGGAACATCCGGTTTGACATTAACGGAGCTGTTAGTGCTGGCCTTAGCCTCTACTTTCTCTGATTCCTGGGGCATTTTTAATCCCATTGGAGGATGGATTACAGAGACAGCTTCAGGTTGTACACCTTTGGAGGTGTTCATTGCGGCCTCTGCCTCTACTTTCTCGGCATGTGCTATCAGCAAACCATTATCGATATCTTCATCATCTGCTTCATCATCGGGTTGTCTTGACTCAGCCGAAGAAGAGGCAATGAAATTTGTTGGCCCTAAGGACTTTCGCCGTTCCCTCGCAGTTTGAACTTCAAGACTGTCCTTCCGTTTCAATCTCACCATTTCATTATTTACTGACTCCTTGAATGTGACAAATAAATTCACAGACTTGTCAGACTTATGCAGCGAAAGGAAGAATTTGTACTCTCGAGGAGTAACTATTACACATGGACAACTCCCATCACCATTAAGCTCAGCTAGAACATCATCAAACCAGTAGGAAATCTCCACCGAAACAGCTCTCGTGTCTAATCCGAACTCATGCGCAATCAGATTTCTCAAATCATCTGGTCCGGACACATCTTTGAAATTTATGCACCTTCCACGCCGAGATATGTCCATTTTGAAATCCCATTCTCCTGTATAGTACCTTATCCACGTTCCCGCCATAACAAGAATGAACGCATCCACTGCACTTCGCGAACACCATATCTATAAAACTACTAGAAAATCGCGAACACCAGACCAAAAAAATACGAAAATAACAATGACAAATCTATGGGTGTACAATCATAGGATTAAGTAACTAACCGTGGTTGTTGTCCTCTTGATCTTCGCATAATTTCCCCTTCAATTTCAACATCTTCTGAAAAGGGAAACTAGGGTTTCTAATTTGGTTAGGGTACTTTGTTTCTTATTTTTACCAATTTATCTCCATTATTTCTAATTAACCACACTTTTCCCGCCAAAATTAAAAAGATACTGCAAAGGGTAGTTTATCGTGTAATTTGTTGGGTAGTTTCCGGCCCATAACCGAGGCCCATAAAGGTGGTTTTTGGGAATTTCATTCTCAAATTCGAAATCAGGCCCAAAAAACGACCCAATCACGCGCGTGAGTGCTCTCTTCCCGCCTGTTACCTGCCCGGACGTAGACCGGACCCACGGTATTTTCTGTGTCTGTCTCTCTCTAAGGAACAGACTGCACTGTCTCTCTCTCTCTCAGAAAAAAGGGTAAGCTTGCCATTATGGAGATATGTCCCTACCCCGACCAATTAAAACTTAAAACTACCCATTTCTCAAATTAAATTTTAAAAACGTCCTTATTTTCAAAACAACCCAAAATAAAAATAACAGATGTTTGTTCGCTTACCAAAATTTTTTTTTTTTTCTAATTATTTGTCTCCAGCATATGGTGCATATAGCTGTTTGTGCAATAATTTGTATTTAAATGTTTTGTATTCGACTTTGTAATCCTGCTTGTATTCTGGTTTTTAACGAAAGAAGTTTAGACGAGAAAAAACAAAAAACCAAAATTGTGACATTTCTTCATTGAGATTTTTTTAATTATTTTGCTATATGAAGCTAGTGGAAGTTTTCATAGAAACTAATGTTTCTCTTTTGGCATAGTCTCATGTGGTACTACTACCAACCTAAATTTGATGTGTCAACTCACTAGACTCAAAAACCAACATCTCCACTGTAAAATGATATAAATAGATTCTGGACATGTAGATAAACATCAGAATTCCAATCCAAAAAACACACAAGATCGTAGGTGGCAGACCATTCCCAATTTGGGATGTCGACTCACCATACTTGTTGCTAATAACATTTTTATTTTGTTAGGTAGTTTTTGACAACGAATCAGAAGCACAATGTATACTCATATACATGTCCGACTCAGAACGCTAACACAATAAAAATATTATCACAGATTTAATCACACAAAAATTATGAAAATAAGAAACCGATCAATAACTGATTAAGAGAGATTATAGATCAAATTCCTGTTCTTAAAACAAAAAAACTCCACAAAAATTATCAGTTTTTTTGTTAGTGCAATAAGCATAAACGAAAATTTACAGAATTAAGATGGTAAGAACGCAATATCTACAAGATTACAACATGGGTAAACTGATAATTTGTAAATAAAGAAATGACCTAAGCCGCTAAGCGAATTGATAAATATAATATAATAATGATACCGATACAGGAATTAGTAATGAGATTTGCAGAGGCAAGATGAATCTCTTTTCTTAATTCTGTAAACGCTCACGGTTGCATGGCGTTACGAATCTCAGGATAAAACTGCAGCTATTCTGCCTTGCACAACCCAAATACAGAATCTAAAGATTGTTATTTTTTTCTGTATTGTACTCTCAGACAAAAAATTAGAGAAAAGGTATAGAAAGTAAAGAGCGTATTTTTTTCCATTTCATAGAAGAGTGAGTGAGAAAACCATTCTTTGTTGGTCTAAACTCTAAACATAAAGAGAATAATGCTCAGTTAATTTACCATTAATCTGAGCCATTATGGAGAGGAGTAGTTTCAGAATTTCTTAATCAATTTATGTATTGATGGGGAGACTTTTCAGCTTGAACGTATTTAATTTTATACTTAATTCTAAACTCATATACTTAATCAAGTTTTGTTTCTTTTATTTATCATATAATTTGTCTTTATATTTTTGTTTAGATATAATTTATTTTTTTTAAATCAAGAATTTTGTTATCATATTTTAACTTTAAATAGTATAGATTTGTATATTAGTAGAATAAGAGTATGAGTTAATTAAATATACATCAATATAATGTTAATTATAAACTTCGTTATTATGTGAACTTAGATTTACACATAAATAATATATATATATGTAAAATTGGATAATCCGTTTGTTTAATTGTCTCAAATTATTTTTTAATATCTTACATGTTTTGACAAACTAACTCGTATAAAACTGTAATTATAAATGCATAATCCTAACATACATTTTTCATCATATTATTGTATAATATAAATATTAACCAGTAATAAATATTTGATATCTCTATATTATTATTTGAGTACACATTTATATAAATAAACCTTTTTTTGTAAGATATTACAGAATATTTTACATAAACGAATATTTATTTATAAAATATTACATAAATAAAATTTTACTTATAAGATATACATAAATAAACTTTACAAATATAAAAACTCAATTAAATATTTTCCCATAAGAGATAATTACATATAGAGCTCACAGATTTATTCTGAATATATATATATATATATATGGATATAAATAAAAAGTGTATTTAATTTCTTTACTTATTAAAATATTAAAATATATTCTATTATTTTAAATAATAATCAATCCTTATATATGAAAAAAACTATTTATACTTTTTAATATATTCATTTTTATTTTCATAATTAATTAGTATCATTTTTGAAAATCAATTTAATTATTCCTATTTTTTAAAAACTGAAATATGTTTTCAAAATTTAAATTATATTTTTACGGATGGGTCAAAAAAATATTTTAGTAAATTTGAAAGAGATTAAGTAGATGGATTTGTCCACTTTGACAATCCTATATATAATCATTATTAACACATATTATAGAATTTATTAACTATAAATGAAAATTTGATCTCTAATAAATATTCATAATGAAATTCTTATTATTATTATATATATAGATTCTAATTCATGTTGGTATGTATATAAATATATACATATATATATATCAACATTATATCACTTTCATATTTAAAAACTACTAATAATTAAACTGCATAACAAAACTAGTTCAAACTCCTATTCGATGGATATAGATATATATACAAGTAAATATCGGTTGTGTGATATATATGTTTAGGGGATTTTCAGTCCTCCGCTGGAGACAAGTCTCCTGCAAAACAGAAAAGATGTCAAGGCCCGGAAACACAATGGGTGTGTTTTCCGAAAGCACTCCAACGTTCAAGTCAGAAAACAGCTCAATAAAGACCACAGAATAGCCGTTCAAAGAGCAGAAAGAAGTCGGAAAACTTTGTGAAGGAAAGTGGGCCGAGAGTCTTTAAGAAAGGCAGGATCTACTCGGGCCTTGGAATGAGAATGAGTTTTTTATGGTGGAAAAAGAGAAAATAAAAGTTTGAGTGTGAAGGTGCTCAACGGTTTAGGAACCGCATAGAGGCGAGACGAAGTGAGATGACCAGAAAGATAGTCGGAATTGTATAGAATGCCTAAACTTAAGAACCACAAGTATCTAGAGAGATATCGTGAGACTTAAGATATCTAAGAGTGTGAACCCCCTCCCCGTAGGAGAGGGTAAATTATTTATAGAGAATTACCTGACCCGGGTTAGTATACCAGGTTTGCCCATGGATGGCGTCACGCTTCTGATCGGGTGGATCGGCCCATGGCCCGACTCGACTGAATTCAAATCTTGTGATGGCGTCACGCTTCTGATGGTCACACCAACTTTTCTTGGCGTGTTCTGCCTGCAACGAGACCGTCTCCTGGCGCGTCCATTTCGTTCTCAGTGTACGAATTGGGTTGGTGGCTCAGACAGCGACATGGCTTTTCGCTGAACCTTTGCTTTTCCCCTGGCTCCTAATAACATCGTATTTGTACCCATTTTCACAATTGATTTCAAATTGC